CTGAGTTGGAGTCTCACTCTGTTGCCCAGACTGGAGTGCAGTGGCCACTTCCGGCCACTGCAGCCTCAACCTGCTGGGATCCGGTGATCCTTCCACCTCAGCCTTCCAAGTAGCCGGAATTACAGGCATGTGCTACCATGCCCGACTGATTTTTTTATTTTATTGTAGAGGTGAGGTCTCGCCAAGTTGCCCAGGTGGTTCTCGAACCTGTGAGCTCAGGCAACCCACTCACCTCAGCCTCCCAAAGCACGGGATTACAGGCTGAGCCACCGAGCCCTGTACGGAAACCCAACTTTAAAAAAAAGAAAGAAATTTCTCTTATCAAGTAATTGGTTACCTGAGTACTTTCAAGGAGAAAGAGCATGATTCTTTCCTTTCATTTACCTGTTTTCAGAATAATGTGATGGATCTTAGCATCTTCAAAAAGTGACCAATGAGTTACTTTTTTTAATATTAATAAAAACGTATAGACTTTAAATACATTTAAGTATTTCAATCTACTGTAGATATTGTCCTTTTTTACAAATCAAATTGTCCCATGTTGGCCCCTTCAAGTTACATCTTGAGTTCTTTCCACAGGATGCCAGAACAGAAGTTTGTAGTAGCTCCCTTGCATTCTGAGAAGACAAGATGCTCCAAGTTCATCTTGTACATTCCAAGCCCTAGAGCTAGAATCAGCCATTTCTCCAAGGAGCCCTGTCTTTTTACCGGAGAAGTGTATTTAGAGACCACATGGGGGCATTAGGGATGCTCACTACTCTGGACTGATCATTGTATCTAAACCTCAGTGGCCAGAACCAGAAAACATGTTTAAGAGACAATATATCATGAGTTTATACTGATATTCCAACTCAACTTTGGGATTCTGGTCTTTTATTTAGCTTGTTTGATTTTCATATTTGTATCTTTTTTTCTTTCACAAAAAACTTGGTTCTTTTTTTTTTTTTTTTTTTTTTGAGTTGGAATCTCACTCTATCACCCAGACTACAGTACAATGGCCACTCCCGGCCTGCTGGGCTCCAGCGATCCTTCTGCCTCAGCCTTCCAAGTAGCTGGAACTACAGGCGAGCGCTACCATGCCCAGCTAATTTTTGATTTATCGTAGAGATGAGGTTTCACCAAGTTGCCCAGGTGGGTCTCTTCTTTTTTCAATTATCTTTTAAGTAATTTTATTTAGTTGATTTTGGTTAAAATACACATAACATAAAATTATTATTATTATTATTTTGAGTTGGAGCCTCACTCTATCAGGTGATCCTTCCGCCTCAGCTTTCCAAGTAGCTGGAACTACAGGCATGCGCCACCACACCTGGCTAATTTTTGGTTTATTGTAGAGACGAGGTCTCACCAAGTTGCTCAGGCTGGTCTCGAACCCCTCAGGCAGTTCTCTTGTCTCTGCCTCCCAAAGTGCTGGGATTACATGTGTAAACTACTGTGCCTGGCTATAAAATTACTATTTTAACAATTTTAAGGAGCCTAGCTCAGTGGCATTTGTTCATTTATTGTGCAGCCATTAACACTGCTCATTTTCAGAACTTTTCTCATCTTAAAAAATTGAAATCACAATTCCTCCATGCATCTGGAATCTTCCACCTGTGATTGTATTTACTCTGCCTCATTTAGTGCTTAACTTTAGTGTAAATTAGTTGGTGGTAAATTCTCTTAACTTTCATTTGTCTGATAGTGTTTTTATTTTACTCTTAGTCAAGAGAAAGTAAGTTTCCCTGATGCACCTTTCTTTATGGCCTGTATATATATATTTATAGTTTGTTTTGTTTTGAGTTGAGGTCTCACTTGATTTTTTGAGTTTCACTTTGATTTTTTTTTTTTTTTGAGTTGGAGTCTCACTTTGTCACCTAGTCTGGAGTGCAGTGGCTGTTCCCGGCCACCACAGCCTCGACCTGCTGGGCTCCAGTGATCCTTCCGCCTCAGCCTCCAAGTAGCTGGAACTACAGGCGCGCGCTACCACGCCCAGCTAATTTTTTATTTATTGTAGAGATGAGGTCTCGCCAAGTTGTCCAGGTGGGTCTCGAACCCGTGGGCTCAGGCAATCCACTCACCTCGGCCTCCCAAAGTGCTGGGATTACAGGCTGAGCCACCGAGTCCAGCCAAGTACCTTCTTTATCACTTTCACAGCCTTACATAAAATGAAGAAGCTCCTCAAAGTCAAATAGGATATATTATAAATGGGATCAAGGGAAAAAAATATTTTAAAAGAAAACCAAGAAGAATCTCAATTTTTCAGAAGCTAGCATAGTAAAGTTTCCACCAAATTTATGTGTAATTCAAACTGGATTTTTTTCTTTTTTCTTTTTTCTTTTTTTGCATTAACATGTTTCAACTTTATTGTGGAAAATTTCAAACATAAAAATAAAGTAGTATGGTGAACACTGTGAATCCATAATCTACCTTTAATAATCACCTATTTTTTGCCTCCCTTGTTTCACCTTCCGATTTGTTTTTGCTGGGATATTTTATTTTATTTTTAAAAATTTTTTTAATCAATATTTTTTATTATGGTTTTGTGGGGTACAGTTAAGGGTTAGGTGTACAATTACGTTTCATTCAGGCATCCTGTTGATAAGAGGTGTTTCCCCATCCCCAGACAGATATTTGCTACTGTTAATCCCATCCCCCTCCCCCCCAGGATTTTTTCAATGGAATAAATATGAAGCATTTGCAAAATTGTTTTTTAAAACTTATGATTGGCCAGGCATGGTGGTTCACACCTATAATTCCAGCACTTAGGGAGGCTGAGGCAAGAGAACTACTTGAGCCCAGAAGTTCAAGACTAGCCTGGGCAACACAGTGAGACCTCATCTCTTAAAAAACAAAACAAAACAAAATAAAACCTCATGATTATTCTTTGAGATGTGAACCAATATCCTGTTTATGTTTTTTTCTTTTGGGTTAAAGTCTAATTCTGTCACCCAGGCTGGAATGCAGTGGCACACTTAACGACCACCACAGCCTCAACCTGCTGGGTTCAGGCGATCCTTTGGCCCTAGCCCTCCAAGTAGCTGGGACTATAGGCACCCGCTACCATGCCTGGTGTTTTCTTTTCTTTTTTTTTTTTTTTGTAGAGACAAGGTCTTACCAAGTTGCCCAGGCTGGTCTCAAACCCCTGAGCTTAAGCAATCCTCTTGCCTCGGCCTCCCAAAGTGCTGGGATTATAAGTTTGAGTCACCGCACCCAACTATATGCTTATTTTTTTTAATTTCCCGACAAATCACTTTTTAGTACCAGAATATTTCAGTATATACTGATTGAAATATGCTGGTATTATGTTGCATTTTGTTTTCATTAAAGGAGCTAGAGAACAGTCTTACTACATAAGAAACATCCAAACATCCAGAAATGGCACAGTGCAGAGGGGCCGGGGACACTGCAGGGGGACAGTGATATTCTCAGTGTTATCCTCAAACAACAAAAAGACAAAAAGGTGATTATTTACCTGCTGAGCTGTAGCATCCTGCTGAACGTAAGCCACCTGGCCTGAGTCTGTAAACAGAGTCTAGACAAAAAAAAAAAAAAATATATATATATATATATATATATATATATATATCATAAATCTTTAGACAGACTGTCTACACGGGAAAAATTATACTATTGCTAAGCACCAGTTCTTAGAAGAGTTAACTCCCATTATAGCTAGTAATAATCCTTCATTAATAAAGAAGATAAAGACAGTAATCTTACATTTAGCTAAAGCCTTTCATTCAGATGGCTCCAAAGAGATAGTTTAAGCTAACCATCTCAAATGGTTAACATCCTTCACAATTTTACTCTTAAGCAAAGCTTCTCTTGAAGTTGAATGTCACAGCTAATTAAAAAGGCATGTCATAAAAACAAAGATGTGACATGAGTGAGGGTGCATAGGTTCACACATAACACTACTCAGAGGCAGACTTGTGATTAAATGAAAATGGACAGAAATATACAGACATGCAGAGGAGCACTATATTTACAAAAATTACAACTCCTTTAAATACAAATGAATGTTTATATTAGAAGAGAAGGAAAATAAATTGAACTTAATGTTCCATAAGTTGTTTTAGAATAATGTCAGTAAAGTCATTATAAAAAAAAAGTCATTATAAACCACAGTAAGTTGGGTCATGATATAGCAAGGCTAACTAGAGAAGAAAATTCTTTAAAACTATTATAGCCAGGGCACCATGGTTAATATCTCTAATTCAGAAAAATGTTCTTTCTTCTAAAGCTTTAAAAGACTTTAATTTGCCCAAGCCTTTAGCAAACCCATGGGAATAAGAACCACAGTTAAGTTTTAATTCCTGAGGAATGTCAACGCCAGTTTCAGCCAGTGTTAGATTTATTAGATTTGATATTTTTAAATTATCATAATTCAGACATTTAGTAACACCATAATAAACTAAGAGCTGGGCACAGGACATTCTTTACATAAACAATCTAATCTTAGAGTTAATATAGATAGGGGACTAAAACTAAGCAGAGGCAGTCCAAAAGTACCACAAAGTATTTGGTGATTCCATCTAGATACAAATTTGCAAGGTGTTGATTAGACGGCCCTCTTTTCTTCTTGAGAGTGATTTGAGCCCCTGGATAAAGCACTTTACACATTATAAAGCAGCAAGTCGAGGCTGCAGTGGCTGGGAGCGGCCACTGCACTCCAGTCTGGGCGACAGAGTGAGACTCCAACTCAAAAAAAAAATAAGCCCGGCTCGATGGCTCAGCCTATAACCCTGCGCCTTTGGGAGGCTGAGGTGAGTGGATTGCCTGAGCCCGTGGGTTCGAGACCCGCCTGGACAACTTGGCGAGACCTCATCTCTACAATAAATCAAAAATCAGCCGGATGTGGTAGCGCGTGCCTGTAATTCCGGCTACTCAAAGGCTGAGGTGGAAGGATCGCCGGAGCCCAGTGGGTCGAGGCTGCAGTGGCCGGGAGCGGCCACTGCACTCCAGTCTGGGTGACAGAGTGAGACTCGAACTCAAAAAAACAAACAAACAAAAATAATAAAATAAATAAAGTGCTAACAATAGAAAATTATATTTACATGTTGGAGAATATTTGTGTCATGCATTTAGAAACGAATACTCCAAGTCACTGGCTAAAAAAGACCAAAGTAACTATAATTGTACAGCTTTTACCAGTAAACACTTTTGTTTCTATTACTGCCCTACAAATCAGTAAGCTATTAACAAATGGTAGTTAATAAGCTAGCAGGACCCTTTTTTACACATGTGACTGAAATTATCTGTATGTTTTCACTGAGCCATCTCTGATTAAGCTACACAGAACTAACAGCCACTTTTGGCCTGATTCTTGAGACTTAGGAAAAGTAACAAATTTATACCCTCGCCAATGGTTACCCAGGAGAGGAGCTGATATGATATCACTGTTCTAACTCTTTGAATTTAATTTCAGTAAATAAACCATCTCTTCCTCTGCCAAGTTGGTTATAGGTTCCTTGAGTACAAATCTCATCTGAATATTCCCTGCATCATGAGCACCTAGCACAATGACTGGCAGAGAGTAAACATAAGCAACTGGTGAATTTACTAATTAATTAACAAATTATAAACGAATAATCCTTCACATGCCTGTGCGGCTTCCACAGGATGGATGTACACCAGTGTGTGCTCCGGACCATCCACTGAAGTGTAGGAGGCACCATCTGCCGTATATACCACCTGCTGGGGTGGGCGAACCTGGTCATCGGTGTATACGATCTGAGCCACAGTTCCAGCATCGGGAACAAAGTGCACCTGGGGCAAAAAACAAGCAAAGACAGAGAGCAGGATTAATCTCACAAAGCTATGTGGCCAACCAAGCACACCTGCATTTCTAAATTATCCCCAGTGAAAGAAGAATGGGGACTGACAGACTTTCATCCACACTGAGTTAGTGACCAGGAGATAGACCTTGTCATTGTTTTACTGCTTAATGTTAGGTAACTGACTTAAATTCTCCTTTGCCTCAAATGTCCACAGCAGATTTTGGGGAGTAATAAGTAGGTGGTTAATTGACTAGGGATTCCTTCTTGACAACACTACTAAATTATAAAATACTAGTTATTCTGTGACATTAAAAAAAAAGACAAGACTTAAAAGCCAATTGTTCTCTACACACCATAAAAATTCTACTTTACAACTAACAGTGCCTTTCAGCAAACACATTAAAATAAGGTCACTTTCTTTCCTAAAAGTTCTTTCATACACAAAGAACATACTAGAGACATATGGGTAAATGCTTGCTGAATCAATGAATGTAATGGAACACAGAAAATTCTAATAAAATACTTTAAGGGGTTCTAGACAACTATTTTAGCTGTCACCAAGGTAAATAATTTTCTGTCTCCCAAGATCTGAAGAACTAAAGCAGAAATCAAGTTTTGTCAAATACTTTCCAAGTGATCAGCTTCGAAGGATTGAAAGCTTGAAGGCCTGGCACATGGCCTAATACCTGATTTTGGAGGTCTGGAAGCAATGGCCAAAGTACACATTTGAGAGAGAATTTATGTGCTGATACCAAAGTCAGGCACTTTTAGGCTGGAATCCCTACTCTTGCACTGACTTGACTTTGGACCTAACTTTTTAATGTCAGTATTTTCCAGTGGGGAACAGTAGGTTCCAAAAATAACATAAACTAATTTAATCCCCGGAAATAAACCCAAAAAACCAAATGTAATCAAGCACCACAGAAATACAACAAACTTCAATCTCTAAACTAAACAATTAGTCTGGTTTCTACACACATTCAATTTGTCTGTGAAGATAAATTGTGCATATTAGAAAAATTAGGCTCATATTTGAGCAGTTTTAATTGCAGCAAGATAATTTTACCTTAGATTTATTCATTACCATCAAAGCCGTTCACTGAAAGTAGTTGAATAGTTTCAGTGCTTAAAAATAGTAAACACAGGCAGGGCACGGTGGCTCAAGCCTGTAATCCCAGCACTTTGGGAGGCTGAGGCAAGAGGACTGCCTGAGCCCAAGGGTTCAAGACCAGCCTGGGCAACTTGGCAAGACCTACAAAAAAATTAAAAACATTAGCCTAGTACGGTAGTGCGCGCCTGTAGTTCCAGCTACTTGGAAGGCTGAGTGGAAGAGTCACCTGAGCCCAGCAGGTCAAGGCTGTGGTGGCCATGAGCGTGCCACTGCACTCCAGCCTTGGTGACAGAATGAGATTCAAACTCAAAAAAAAAAAAGTAAACACAATTCCTCAAAAGACAAGCTATCCAAGCTTTTCCACCTGTTCTTCACCACTCAGATTCTGCTAAATCAGAATTCCTGGCTGGGAGAAGAATTGATTGGGAAGAAGAAAGACAGTGGGGACTTGGCTGTCTACTGCCTGGTCACTCACAAATGGGGTCTGGTCATGCACGTGTCACAACCAGATTTTCTTTTGTTTTGCTTTTTAATGGACTACATTTTTGTTTATAAATAAAATAAACCAAAACATATAGCTGCATGAAAGTAGCCTCAAAATGGTTTTCAGAAAAAAACAAAACAGAGTTTTCAATTATTCTGCTGAAAACATTCGAGACTTTCAAGTAATCAAACTAAGATTTTAAGCCATAACAGATGACCAATTTTATATATTACAGTATTTATTTATTTATTTTTATTATTATTTTTAGAAAGCAGGATTTATTGAGAGGACAGAAAAGCTCCCACAGTGGGAGGGGACCCGAGGGAGTTGCCCTAAAGCATTTATTATATTGCTTAAATGTATTAAAATTTGCATATTTAAATATGTCAATGTTAACTTCCTAATTTTGATCATAGTACTATGGCTATATAATTTAATAAAAAATTAAATTTAAATTGCATATTTATTATAATGTCTAAAAATTAAGTTTCATACTTTGGTCACATATAAAACATGGCTCCAGTCGGGCTCAGTGGCTCAGCCTGTAATCCCAGCACTTTGGGAAGCCGAAGCAAGTGGATTGCCTGAGCCCGCAGGTTCGAGATCCACCCATGCAACTTGGCAAGACCTCATCTCTACAATAAATCAAAAACTCGCCGGGCGTGGTAGCACGCGCCTGTAGTTCCAGCTACTTGGAAGGCTGAGGCGAAGGATCGCCAGAGCCGACCAGGTCGAGGCTGCGGTGGCCAGGAGCATGCCACAAAACTCCAGTCTGGGCAACAGAGTGAGACTCCAGCTCAAAAAAACAACAACAACAACAACAACAACAAAAAAAAAACATGGCTCCATATGACTGCTGACTCATCCCCAAATTCCAATCTGTATCAAAATGCAGAGATTTGTCTTTGCTAAGAGTAGTCAAAAAAACAGGAGGCTGGTTCTGGTAGCAATTTGAAAGGCAGAGATCACTGATGACAGCATTTCCTTAAGTGACTAGGCTCCAAAGTAGTCTCATAATGAAGCTACTTTCACTTAGAGGTTTATGTTCTGAATTTAAAAAGAAACAAAAGGCCACTCATTTTATAAACATATGCTGTACTTGTGTATATTTTGACAAACAAAGAATCAAAATCCTATGGATAACATAAAAGAAACAAACTACAGTTTGAAGTTTTCAGCATCAATAACGTAAAATAAAGCAGGGTAGTAAAACAAATGATGATGGTAAGTTGCAGACAAGGTAGAGATGCCTACAGGTGGTAGTTGAGCTCTTCTAACTTACAGTGAGCCAGGTCGATGAAGCATTCAAGGTCCTGCAACACTCCCTACTCCTTGTGTACAAGTTCTTCCTGTAGGCTCCTCCCAACCATCCATTACTACACAGTAGCTGTTAGTTCTTTCCTGTAAGCAAACTGTGTCCAACTGAAAAACTCCTACCAATACCAAGTTGGAAGAGACCACTCTTCACCTGTGCAGCGTTCTGTTCATGCTCTGCAGAAGTCGGCCACACGTGTGAGCTTTCGTCTTTGGAATCCATCTTTTCCCTACTGAGCAGCTCCAAGTCTGGAGCACCTATAGCAGTGCGGGGTGGAAGACACTCATCTGTCAGCCACTCATGTGTTCATGAAGGACACAAACGCCTCCCTGCAGCATGCCTGAGAAAAGACAGAAAAGGAACCAAGACTTTAAGCCGATGAACACATTTTAATAGATTCATTTCAACCACACCAAAAAAAGCTTTGCTAAAATGGCAACAAGCCTTGGCAAATAACATAAAAATGAAGAAATTATTTGTAATTATAAGGCAATGTATTACGTACTTGCTATGTTCTAAACATTCATTGGGGTATGCATATATATTATATATATCATATAATATTATATATTTTCTATATATGTGTATGTATATAATATAATCTTCATTAAAAACACTAAGGTAGCTGGGCTCGGTGGCTCAGCCTGTAATCCCGCACCTTGGGAGGCTGAGGTGAGTGGATTGCCTGAGCCTGAGCATTCGAGACCCACCTGGGCAACTTAGCGAGACCTCATCTCTACAATAAATCAAAACTTAGCCAGGTGTGGTAGCGCGCACCTGTAGTTCCAGCTACTTGGAAGGCTGAGGCTGAAGGATCGCCGGAGCCCAGCAGGTTGAGGCTGTGGTGGCCGGGTGTGGCCACTGCACTCCAGTCTGGGTGACAGAGTAAGACTCCAACTCAAAAAAAAAAAAAACCACTAAGGTAATCCTAGTTCTCTTGAAGAAAATGAGGAGATGCTAAATGCTGGCAAGTGATGGGTTCACACCCAAGTTTGCTGTACAGTTCAAGCTCTTTCCTTGTAGACACTTGACTTCCTATACTATCTTTACTCAAAATAATAGCAGAATAATAAATATCACAAAATGAGGGGGAAAGGCAAGCAGAGGCAGATGAATTTTCTGGGTCACAATTTGGTGAATGAACATATAAATTTTGTCTCCCATCTGGTCAGTGCAGGAGTGATTAGTGACCAGATCAAAAGCCTCACTAAATATTGACATGCACAAAATCTGCATCTTGAAACCTTATCCCTTTCCAAAATAGGATTTAAATTTTTCTTTACGTAATCAGTCTTCCCTTTTAATGATGACAAAATATTGATGTCTCTCTCTCTCTCTCTCTCTCTCTCTCTCTCGCTCTCGCTCTCTCTCTCTCTCTCTCTCTCTGTCTCAGAAACAGGGTTTTGCTATGTTGACCAGGTTGGAATGCAGTGGCGTCATCTTGGCTCACTGTACCCTCAACCTCCTAAGCTCAAGAAATCCTCCTGCTTCAACCTCCCATGTAACTGGGAATACAGACACACACCACCATTTCCAGCTATAGTTTAAATTTAAATTTTTTGTAGACACTAGCTCTTGCTATGTTGTCCAGGCTCGTTTCAAACTCCTGGGCTCAATTAAGCCTCCTGCCTAGGCCTTCCAAAGTCCTGAGATTATGGGCATGAGCCACTACACTTGGCCAAAATGTTGACATTTTTATTAACTTATTTATTTTTGAGTCTCACTTTGTCACCCAGACTGGAATGCAGTAGCGTACTCATGGCCACCACAGCCTTGACCTGCTGGACTCAGGTGATCCTTCCACCTCAACCTTCCAAGTAGCTGGAACTACAGGCATGCGCCACCATACTTGGCTAATTTTTTTAATTTATTGTAGAGATGAGACCTTGCCAAGTTGCCTAGGCTGGTCTCGAACCCATAGGCTTAGGCAATCCTCTCACCTCGGTGGCTTCCCAAAGTGCTGGGATTATAGGCGTGAGCCACCATGCTTGGCCAATGTTGACATTTTTAAAAGTCGCATGAGATTTGCTGTTAACAAGGGCAGCAGCAACGTTTGATTCTAGCATCAATAACATAAAATAAAGCAGGAACCACCCATTAAAGTAGCATACACATACAACAAAGGGTAAAACTGGTCAGATAAGAAAAGCCGCTGACCAAGATCTAGACAGAATTTTCTCCATTATTAATGGAAATAAGCTGAGAAGCACACCCTTAGACCACCCATGCCTCAACCTCTTAGCCAGAATAAGGTCCAAAGAAGAAAGAAAGAGACAGTACTTGAATACCCAGTGTCTACACCTAACTCTGGAATACAAGAACAGCCAGGTCCATCTCCTGAGCCATTGTGGTACCTGTTCCTGCTTCACCTATCACTAATCATTCCTGCACTGACCAAATGAAAAACAAAGTTTACATTTGCATTCACCAAAGTGTGGCCCAGAAAATTCAGCTCCCTCTGCTTGCCATTTCCCTCATTTTGTGACTTTTATTACTCTTCTGCTTCAACACTATCAGCCTCATCCCCCACTCTATCACCCACCACCACACATACACTCACTCTGCCTGCACCCTACTCCTCTTAACCCATTCAGAGGGCTCCTGAAACAATGCTATGTTCACCAACAGGTGAATGTGTAAGGAAAGGCGATGAGGGAACGTCCTACAGAAATGGGAATATCCTGTATCTTTTTTTTTTTTTTTTTTTTGAGTTGGAGTCTCACTCTGTCGCCCAGACTGGAGTATAGTGGCCGCTCCCGGCCACTGCAGCCTCGACCTGCTGGGCTCCGGTGATCCTTCCGCCTCAGCCTTCTGAGTAGCCAGAATTACAGGCATGCGCTACCACGCCGGCTGATTTTTTGATTTATTATAGAGATGAGGTCTCGCTACCCAGGTGGGTCTCGAACCCGCGGGCTCAGGCAATTCACTCACCTCAGCCTCCCAAAGGCATGGGATTATAGGCTGAGCCACCGAGCCCGGCGGAATATCCTATATCTTGCATCTGGATTGGGGTGATGGTTACGTGGAGAATGCCTGTGTCAAAAGTAATCAACCTATTCAATTAAGATATGTAATCACAAAATCAGGGGGAGAAATCACAATATGAGGGAGAAATGGCATATTTAAATTATACCCTAATAAAGTTGATTTTTTTAAAAAGCACACCTTCTTTATATAGCAGTACTATTTAAACACATATAAAAAGATATTCAGGGTGAGTTGCATATGGTATGTAAATTATATCTCAATAAAGCTGTTATTTAAAGAAACACATGTCTGTATTACAGTGCTTTGGGTGATTAAGGTGGGAGGACTGCTTGAGTTTGAGACCAGCCTGAGCAATATAGAAAGACCTTGTTGCCACAAAAAAAAAGTTTTTTCGACTCACCAAGCATAGTGGTGATCAGCTGTAGTCCTAACTACTCAGGAGGCTGAGGCAGGAGGATCACTTGAGCCCCGGAGTTTGAGGCTACAGTGAGCTATGATCATGCCTGTGAATAGTCACTATACTCCAGCCTAGGTGACAGGACAAGATCCTGTCTCTAAGAAAAAAAGAAACAAAAATATTATGAAACATAAGAATAAATGTCACTAATAACAAAAAAAAATCTATACCAAGAAAACTATAAACTGGGCTGGACACAGTGGCTCACACCTGTAATCCCAGCAATTTGTGGGTCCAAGGTGGGAGGATCACTTGAGCCCAGCAGGAGGTCAAGACCAGCCTGGGCAACATAGCAAGACCTCGTCTCTACAATATATCAAAAAGTAGCTGGGTGTGGCGGTACACACCTGTAGTCCCAGCTACTGGGGAGGCTGAAACAGAAGGATCACCTGAACCCAAGAGGTCAAGGCTGTAATGAGCCAGGATTGAGCCACTGAACTCCAATCTGGGTGACAGAATGAAACCTTAACTCAAAAAAAAACAACAGAAAAACCCCAAAATAACTACAAACTGTACAAAAGGACACAAAAGGCTCAGTAATTACAAAATCACCACCAGGCATGGTAGTGCAAGCCTGTTGTCTCAGCTACTTAAGAGGCTGAAGTATGAGTATCCCTTGAGCCCAGGAGTTCAAGACCAATCAGCAAAATAGGGAGATACTGTTTTTAAAAACATCATAACATATTCTATGTAGAAAGCTTTTTTTATAAATGTTTTAAAATTCTGAAATAATTTCAGACAAAAAAGTCACGCAAATACTACTAAGAATTTCTGTATTTCTTCAGTGACTCCCCAAATGCTAACGTTTTACCATGTTTATTATTCTCTCTCTCTCTTTTTTTACCTGCACAATTTGAGAGTAAGGTGAAGACACAATGCCCTTTACCTCTAAATTCTTAAGTGCCTAATTCCTAAAAACAAAACATTTTCTTATAACCACAATACTACTAACAAAACCGGGAAGTTAACATTGAAACAGTACCATTACCTTCAAAGACCTTATCCAAATGTTGTCAATTGTCTAATTAATGTCCTTTATAGTCAAACAATTTTTTCTCATGACCTGGGATCCAATCTAGTATCACACACAGTACGCTCAGTTATCACACCCTTCCTCCTTCAATTTCTTACAGTACCCTGTTCTTTTTGGTCTGCATGACCTTGACATTTTTCAAATGCACAGGTCATTTATTTTTTAGAATGTTCCTCAATTTAAGTTTGTCTGATGCTTCTTCATGGTTAGATTCAGGATATGTATTTTTAGCAGGAATACCACAAAAGAGATGCTGTGCCCTTCCTATAGAAGAATATGAAGGATTTTTTTTGTTTGTTTTTTTAAGTTCGTTCACTGATTACACAAAGGCTCAAATGCATTCTCTGTTAGGCATTGGGATGCTGTGGGTATCAGGCAGGTATAGCCCATGCCCTCACAAAATGTACACAGCCCTAAGTGCCTTTTGTTTTTGTTTTCATTTCTAGAAAAGTGTACTTTATTTCTCTTAATTTTACTTATGTCTCCTTTAAAAGGTAGTACATGCAGTTAGTTCAAAATTCAAAGGGCACAAAACGGTAAATAGTGGACAATCTCCTTACCTGGAATCCCCTAGCTGCTTCTTAGGAACAACCTAAGTTATCAATTTTTTCCAAAAATATTTTATATATATACATGAAAGCATATATATATGCTTCAACCACAAATATAAGCATGCTCTTGATTCCATACAAGGTAGTATTTCTTCCACAAAACATCATACCATTTATATTGTTCCATATCTGCATAGACATTCCTCATTCTTTATCATAGCTGCATAATTTCATGTAGTGTGGCTACATTGCAATTTATTTAATCAATCTTACACTGATAAACATTTAGGTTATTTCTAATCTTTTGCTAG